TTGGGGATACAAGCTCCTCTTGAGTCTCTCTGTCCTAGCCCGGATGATGTCAGAAGTTGGAACAGTTTGTTGCCAGGATGGGACGGGTCCTTCAGTAACTGCGCTGCTCTAGTCCGGCATCTCCTGGTGTAGGTGTCCTGAAGTGGAGGGAGAGCAATCCTGTAGCAGTGTTCTGCTGGACGGATCCCTCTCTGAAGAGCGTTTTGGTCCTTAACACAGCTGTTTCCAAGGATGTGATGTTCTGTGTGAGGATGTTCTCCACAGACCCTAAATACACAATACAAGCCCAGAGCCCAAAAAGCTCGTTTTAATTGTTTAGGAGGCTGCAGAAAACTTACATCCAGGTTATACAAGCGGGGTTATAATTACAGAACCTGTCCTTGAAGGGAGGGAGTCTGGGCTGCGTCACGTTCTAAGTCGCTTCTGATTGGTTAAGGTGGGGAGAAAGCTTACATAGCCACCCGACGTCACGGGCGATGTGGGCATGCGTCCTGATGAGCGTCATTCCCGTGGCTTTATGAAAGGCGAAATCCGTCCACGCGCAGCTGTTTCGAAACCGAGGGGAAGCAGGTCGTCTAGGAAGAACTGGGCTTAAGGACAGTCTCCCAATCTCTTCGCCACCGTCCGCTGCGCGCGTGTGAGCCACTTTCCGCCTTCAACTGTCGCCTGCGCGTGCCTCCCGCCTCGCACAGCTTCAACAACACAAGCCACGGGGACAAGCCAGCGTTAGCCGAGAAGGGAAGTGGACTCTGTCTACTCTTTTATCAGGTAGGTGAGTGCAAAACGTGCCACGTTATTTTTAATTCCAGTGCCTTGTCAGTGTTAGGCACCCCTGCTTTGGTTTCCCACTCTGTACGCCGTCTCAGTTTGGGGGCTGGAGTTGGCAGAAGATAACCGCTAGCGGTTAGAGGTGTGTGAGCTCCCCCCTCTCTCTCTCCTCAGAGGACTTCGTGGGCCGCCTCGACCGTGGCGATGCTGATGCTGAAAGTGTGACCGTGAAAATAAAGGCCCAGATAGCCAGGCTTTTCTTAGGGTTCCAGTACTAGTCACCTTTCTCCTCTTTAGCTCATTTTTTTTTTTTTAACACCGTTACTTATCAGTATGAGGTTTAGGGCAGATGTATCAAGGTTTCTAGATAATGAGGGCTTTATTGTGACTCTTACAACACACAAAACATAATACAGATAGGCTAAGTATGCATGAATAAAAACCCTTAATGAATCAAGCAGCACTAACTGCTACACTAATGCACATTTGGCTTTTAGGATTTACTGGCAATTGATGATGGCAGTGTCCTAGAAACGTGGCTAGGCAGGTGGGTGTATGCTCACAGTACATGTGCATCTATCACATGACCAATAAATGGCCCAAAAAAACCCAACCCAAAAGCCAAATGGGCAGTGCTTGGAGGTGACATGGCTATTTACGATTGCATGAGAAATGCATTATAAAATTTACTTTGTATCAACACCCAGATTCCAGGTAGCAACTCGACTGCTTTATTTTCCTCTCTGAGTAGTTTAAATTTCAAATGAAACTGCCATTCTCAGAGCAGGGACCTTTGATA